TACCTGTATTACAGTACTTTTCAAATTGCATTGATAAATGTCACTTAACCACAGTCCATAGTTAAAACTGACCAAGTTTGCATTGCAAATGATCAAGTTCCAAATGCTACTTTATTCCCATGAAATGGAAGATCAAACAACAAAACAACAAAAATGTTTGGTGAGGTGGTATTCTGCTACATAAATATGGCCTACCTACTTAGTCAATAATTGAAGCTTTTCTCCACTACTAGCAGTAAATATTTCCACTGTTGTACCACAAGGAGGCAGCTTATTATTTAGCTTTGCTGAATATAGTACTTTACTGCAATTTGCCCTATGTATCAGGGATATTCAATTCTTCATTTCAAAGAGGAACTATGGATCTTGTGCAGCCAGAGAATATATGCAGCTAAGTAAAGTAATTATGTCTTTTTCATTATGTCCCACATGAACCTGGAAAAAGAACTTAAGGTCATTATTCCATAACATGCATCCGAGTATAATAGAAAATAGGTGAAGGCTTTCTTCATTGTGACATCTCTTCAGGTATTTTGTTGATTCTTCAAGAAATGGAATATGTTTATATGTTTAAATACATACAATATTTTAATTTTTAACAATTTCATTCTGGCCAATATGCAGAGTGAAATAATTACTTTCCATGGTTTTGAAGATCATATTGATACAGGCTAAAATCATATACTGTTCATGAAGCATATCACAAACTCCTATTCAATTGCAATTACAAATTCTTGTTTACAAGCAAAAAATTTGCCATCTTGCTTGCCTAATAAAATAATTTCTGGTTTTCTTTTCTCAACTCAAAGGAGGTCTCTTGAGGTTTATTTCCCATTAACCTCTTGGTCTAGAATCCTACTTATGTTCTGCTCCAGAAGTCTGTTTTTCTTGAAGTTCAAAGTATTCAAGTGGCCTTACCTCGAAGTCTCATTAAAATCAATATATTTCCCAAATTACATGTTCACTTTTCCCTAAGCATATGCTGCTTTTAGCTAAGCTTCCTGTATTAATACCTCACCAAAGATAGCTAACTTCTTGTAGCTTCATGTATCTTGAATCTAGAGGATAAAGGGTCTTCTAGAGGGAAAAGTCAAATGACGTATTTCCAGGACTATACTTGGCAGGAGTTTGTCATTCCATAAATATCTATGTAATTAAGATCTCTATCACCATAGGCTGCATGCCTATTTTAATGATCCATAAAACCACTGTGCCTGGATTCACACAGGTGGGAAACTAAATCCTGGCAAACTACATTTCAGTGAGCCAGCCTTTCTTCTGTCAACTTCCCTGTTCACAGAAACATTTCTATGTCATGCAGACAATTCCCATATATGCTGCAATAAGGATTGTTTAACTATTTGGTCATTGAATAAATAAAATGTGTGTTTACATCATGCATTAAGCTTTATATCATGATCTATAAACCGCAGTGGTTGAATTGTGTTCACATCAAACAAACCAAATTATAATTCAGTGCACTGTGTGAACTAAACACTTGGCATGGCTACAGGTCAAGAGATTTGGATTTATTTTTGTATTTGATAAATTCCAGAAATCCCTGCAATAGTTCCCTCCAGAATCCCCTATCTACAAGAAACTTGGGTGTGAGAAATTCTGTGAACAAAATTCTTAAATTTGTTCTGAAGGCATGCAGATAGTACATAGGACCAAAGAAGACGAAAAAATCCAGAGCACTTCTGCAATTTTATATGAGTTGCTGTAGTTTCCAACAACCAAAAAAGGAAAGACATAAAATATATTTAGGACTTCAAATCCAACAGAGGTTAGGAAATTGTAGGGACTATAACCCAAAAGATGAAGATAATCTGCATCAGAGGAAATCTGTTAGCACCAGAGATTTCACAGGGTAGACTCTATAACAGAAGATTAATCTTCCTTGCTGAGGTTTAAATATTTTTTTTTTTTAAAAAAAATGGCATGTGACAAATCAATGTGTAGGGACTTAAATCAGAGCCTGGAGAAATTTCAGAATAGCTGTTCCAGTAGATTTGATTGAATTCTGCCTTCTTTTTACTATGTTTTGTGTTTCTGATGCTTTTGCTACTATTTTAAAAGAATTACTGCAAAAGTGTGAGCTGTATGTTACTGTTTTTATGGGATCGAGCATAACTCTGGCTTGTTTCAAGCTTCCCAAAGTTTTGCTTTGATTGCAGAGGAGGATTAAGGCGAGTATTTGCTATTTCAAAAGGCACTCTGGTTATGACTTGCTGAAAGGAGTTGCACAGGTTGCTTGTAAAATATGTATTCTGCTTATGGTATGACTCAGTAAAAGTAGTAAAGCAAGATTCCCGGCCCTTGTTGCTCCATCAGCTATGCCTCCTCTCCATTTCAGATGATTCCTTTGGTATTGTTATGAAAGACATTAAGGGAGACAAGACTAATTAAAAATGGAGCATTTCCTTGAAAAGCCTAAAACCTGGCCTTGTGTGTGTGGTGTGAATAAAAATGAAAGCCAATCTGCTAAAAGCTTTTGACAAAATATATAAGCAGTATAAGTTTCCTGCATTAAATGGATTTGGATTTTCTTTGAAATTAACATATATTTTCTACTACTTTCCTATTTTTTTTCCAGAGGACCCAATCTCAAATGCCCACTTTCTCCCTTGCTTTTTGTTGTTTGCATGGAATGCTTGGTTTATGCTATTAGACAACATAAGATTTACAGAGTAGTGCATCATTTTGGTTTTATCTGCAGATGGTATTCTTTGTTTCTAAACCTCATGCTGCTATTTCACTATTGGTGCAAATGATAGCTTTAATAAAATAGCAGGATATTCTATTAACAAAAAATGATTTTTTAAAAAAAATTAGACTCCATTAGACTACATTTGTATAGAAAAAGAAAAATGCTAGAACAGCATTTTGTTGAAGATGTAATAAGGGCAATGCTTCTCTAAAATACATTTTTTACAATGATCTATACTTACCAAGTTTTGGGAGAAAGTAATAGACTATATAAATGTGACAAAAGCTAACATTTTCAGAGGATAATATTCTCTTGAATTACATACTTGTGCCTGGAATTGGACAACATAAGTGGATTTTCTGTGTCCTTATTATAGATAAAAGACTCATATTGCAACTTTGGAAAGATGAATGTAAGGCTCCACTTACTCAATGGATTGAAGACCTGATTACCCCATCTGTGAGTGGATTGCCTATAAATGCAGACTTTGTATGGATAAAAAAAGGAGTCCCTGTGGGTTTTACTCCATTAGTCATAGCTGACTTTCAGGGGTGGTGCTCATCTGTGTTTCTTTAAGCCATTGAGCCAGTGCTGTCTGAAGATGTTTCCATGATCATCTGGCCAGCATGACATCATGTCACAGAGCACAAAGCATATGGCAAAACAAGGAACGCCATTACCTTCCTACTGAAGTGGTACCTATTTATCTACTTGTATTTACATGCTTTCAAACTGCTAGGTTGGCAAGAGCTGGGGTAAGTAATGGGAGTGCATTCCACTGGGCAGTGGTGAGACTCGAACTGTAGGATCATAGACCTTCTCCAGCATCTTCTAAGCCACTGAGCCTCTTGTATGGATAAATGCAAGGAAATATGGGAGCAATTTATACAAAGTACAGTAGGTTGAAAAACACAATAATCATACAGACACGCACACACACTTTCATGTTTGCATTTGATAATTCTATAGATAATTGTAACTTTATTGTTCTAAGACCATATACTCTATACATTTATTTTTTCTGTTGCATTTTTATTTTACAAGCACTTGTTTATTTTTTAATAATGTATCTTTTGTGCTTTGCTTTTTCCTTTTGCTGCCATTATTTTAAAAGCAATAAAATGTATTTTAAAATTATAGCAATACTATTGCATTAGAATTTGAACTTGCCTTCAAACCACCTCATAGAATACTTTAAATTATTTAAAATAAAGCAAAACAAAACCAGACAGAAACAAGCAGACAATTGTATACACATTCATGAGGACAAATACACAGACTGCCTTTATTGGGGGCAAGAAAAAATAGAAATTTCTGCTTCTTCTAGAAAGGAAAGGGGAAAGTCTGTTAGTTTAGATAAAGTGAGTTTGTTAGAGATTAAATAGCCTTTTGTCTGAGGTGTATGGTTTCCTGCCTAAGCAGGGGTTGGACTAGAAGACTTCCAAGGTCCCTTCCAACTCTGTTATTCTAGTTCTAGTTAACTAAACATTGGAAGCCCTGAATCAGTACACTTAGCAAATAACCAATTTGAGACAGAAGGACTGCTCCATGACTGACATTCTATGCAGTCAGATATTGACCAGTTTAGAATAAGCAATTATTGGCTGAATGACCACTCTTTGAACTCCAGACTAACCAGCATATAAAAGATCATGCAAAAATCCCAAGGGTGCTTTTTCAAGAGGCGGTTTCTGGTTTTTCTTTGAAGACATTTCTGAAGAAGCTTCTTGGATGAGAAGCAAAATGTAAAGAAAAACCAGAAAGTCCAATTGCCTCTTGAAAATGCACCTTTGGGACAACCATGACCTGGAGGACTGAAAATCTCCATAGACATCATTTGAGAAAGCCAGATGGTTTTTAAAAACAGTGCAGAAATAATGGCTACCTTTAAAATACGCAATGAATGTTTAGCAATTGGCTGATGTTGTAGCATATCTCAATGATTGTTTACAAACATGCAGTCTGAAATGAGTTTCAGAACTTTGAAAAGATCCTGAGAATACAAAGCTGTTGTTATTGTTTTTCTCAATGTATGTCTCCTACCAAAATAAGCTATAATCAATCAAAATTATTATTTCTTTGAAAGCGGAGTTTGGTCAAAACTAATCATATGAATAATCAATATCGGTAAAATCTAAGACAATTTCATGTAACGTTTATGCTGAATTACTGAAAATGCTACATTAATTGCATACTGGAAATATCCAATATCTCCATTTTAAAGTATAATGTACACATGGGGAAATAATGAACAGAATATCTCACTATTGGACTTGCAGTTAGACTCCTGCTTCTATTGAAGGTCAGAAGCCTCCTAGATCTTATAGACAAGAGGGTTAGGACATTTTTTCCCCAATCAGTTTATCTTACTATCAAAGGTTATAATCAGGGTTAGTCCAAGTTGTTCCCTTGCCTGAAGCAGAGCAACAAATGGGTAGTTCCTCTAACACATGAGGCAGAAAAATCACAAAATACATCTTTCCATCCTGGCAGTAAAAATACAGAACAAAAAAAAAAATCAAAGGAAAAAAACATAAATGAAATAACTAACAATTTACTTCCTTTCATCCCACCCATCTTCTGTTTAAAGTAGATTTACTCTGATTCCTGATAGAGGTGGCTTTATTCTAGGTTCATGAATATATATACAAGCAAGAAATAAAATAATATGTAAATAGAGTGCATAAATACAATATAGAAGATGCTTTGCAAACTATACCTATTTAAACAATTTTTACTTAAATGTTTGGAAACATTTAATTGCTGTAAATGGGAAGCATCCCTAGAACTCAAACTCAAATTATCATCATCATCATCATCATTCATCATCTTCATTATCGTTTTAGCCATTGTCTATCAACTGCAGGACGAAGGCCTCTTCTGCCTGTTTCCACCTAATACGGTCTTTGTTTTGAGCTTTGTTTTGCCAATTGGGCCCGTAATACTTGATGTCATCCATTCATCTTGTTTTAGGTCTCTTTCATAGATGCTTTATAATTTAAACTGTTATCCATTATATAAATAAATAATCCTTTATATAAAAAATAATGGCTATATTCTTGTTTATTTGCAAAATCTATATAAATAAATTGAGAAGGCCACTTTCCCTCTCAGTTCTAAAAACTAGAACTAAATCCATAGATTATTGGTCTACAGGTAAGCCATTAATTGCAACCATAACTGGAAGCAGAATTTCTATTATTAAGTAAGGTGGTTGCTAAATGATCTGTGCCCAATTTTATGATTTTTTTTGCTCATGGTTATTAATAATTGAAGTTGTTAAGTTGAATCATGTGACCATTAAGCAAATCAGCTTTCTCCATTGATTGGCTTGTCAACTGGAGAGGTCGCAAATGTCAATCACATGACCCTGGAAATGCTGCAACCATTATAAATACATGCCAGTGGTTAAGCAGGTGAATTTTGATCGCATGACCGCAGAGATGCTACAACAGTCGCAAGTGTGAGGACCATTTGTAAGTCACTTTTTCAGCGCTGTAATTCTGAACAATTGCTAAATGAATGGCTGTAATTCAAAGACTACCTGTAAATCTCATGTATAACCAATACAAGCCAAAATGGATTACAGCTGTTTTCCTCTACTTAGATAGTAAATCCCATAAGATTTACCTCCAAACAAACATATTGGAAATTTTCCAAGGTGACCTTTAAGCATGCACTGTTTCCCCTTTGATTACAGAGATATAATTTGATATTAATTTGTACAGATGCTGGCACCTGTTCTACTAAATACCTCTCATATCCATTAAATATTTTTAACTCCTAAACCAAAATAAAAAACCATAAGAAAAACAAGGTTGTAGATAGAATGATTGCATTCTTGAAAACTAAAACAATGCAGCAATGAATCGCCAGATTATCCTGGCAGATATGTGTTGTTTGGTTCATTTAAATCTTGTACAGTTTTTAATTAAAAATGGCTCCCAAATTAAATTCAGCTGTGTGTTTTTAAAGGGGACCGCAAGAATTATATAATGTCTTTAGAATGGCTATCATTTTTATCTGTAAATGTAGAAAGTGCAAAATCTAAATGACTAAAAACGATTTTGAAGAAGTTCAGTCTCAAATATTTTGCTAGATCTAAGAATATTTGACAAGGGCTCCTGAGTTTCTCTCTTCTTTTCTGTTCAGGATTCTAACAATGGTGTGATAAACAAAAAAAATAGTGGGTACAACTTAGAGATGCACTTTCTTTTGTGCTAGCACTATTGAAACTGCAAGTATCACAAAATTTCAATCCTTCTCTCTTGCTCATCTTTTATTCCGCTGAACTCCTCCTTTCTTTTCCCACTACTGTGCCATTTTCTTCCAGCTAACAGTTGGATTTCTAGGCCATGCATGGCTGATCTAGAGTAGCCATGAATGGGTTGCTGAACTCATTCTTTATCTTGGATTCTCTGCTTCACCTTTCTGTTGCACTCTTCCTCTTTTGCTTGCTTTTCCTAAATGACCAATGCATGTTTGTAAAGATGGTGCTAGTAAGGTAAAATGTACTCCATGCCCGTCTTCAAAGCATAGACACCTATTAGTCAAATGTGCCCTAGAATGAAGACACATAGGTATTCTTACGTTATGCAAAGAAGCTGGTTACCAAGATAGCTTCATAAGACTCATTCATAATATTGTCTGAATAACTTAAAACTAATATGCTTACAAAAAGATACAGGTCTTATGGAGATATACAAAGGCAAGTTATAATACAGAACAAAGAATGAGGTCCAGGTTGAGTAATAACAAGCTTGACCCAAGCTGTGTGCAGATGCAGAGCTTCTGACAGAAAGGTCTTAATGAAGACCTTGGTAGGAATAAGAAATGGGTTGTCTTGTTCCAGGCCTGACAGTAAATGTATTTTGAGTTCCATATTGTGGATTAACACGGAAAGGCCTAAACAGAAGAAATATAAAAAAATATTATTAGTCCAATAGAAATTCGTAGCAATAAATAAAGACCTGTGATTCAATTAAGAGGTATATTTCATTCTAAGTACAAGAAAAAAATGTTGAAGGAAGAAATTTTTCAAATCAATACTATCTGAGATTTTGTTAGCAAGATAGCTTTTGATTACCAGAAACACAGACAGCGAATATGAAATACTTAATACAGATTTTTTTTGGCATAATGGCTTTCTCAGCTAAATTCTAATAAAAGTTATCTTACCGATATAAATAATAATCTGGATGGTTTGAATATTTTTGCTTCTCTTTCAAAAATAACTAAAATGGCAGTCTACCTGGAAACAATAATTCTGTTGAATTACATAAGTTTCTTGGTACCCATATCTTCTCTCTAAATATAATTTGAAATGAACAGCTGCACAGATCAGTCACCCACTAGCAATACAGTATTTTCCTCTCAATTGAGCTCTTGCTGATTTTGACAGAGATCTTAGCTATAGGAATAAGTGTGGAAGAAGCAGGCATTTGGCTGAAGTGGTAGTCATCTGGTCACCTGACTAAATAACTTGATTTGAAATGGAAAATAACTCTACCTAGAGCATCATAATTCTAAAAAGGAGAAAAAAAACAGATTGCTTACATTATACTGGACAAAAGAAACTGCTGAATGTCAGCCTGCATGCTGACTTCTGGCCAAAATATTTCCATGCAGCCCCTACTTACATTACAACTCCTATATTTATGACAAATAAAACATACCTGCCAGAGGCATTGGTGGAATAGTCTCCATTTTGGCTTTTATATGGAACATCATTGACAGAAATATTGTAAGTTATAATTTTTCCAGGTATTTCCAAGGATACTCTTCGACCCTGTGTACCATTGGGAACATTTCTGTGAGAATAATTTGCTCGATGAATCCCTTCCACAGCTGAAGAGTTGTAGCCATAGGAGTTAGGTGTGCTCATACTGCGAGCAGACATAGCTGTCCTACTATATAAGTCATCAGTCTCTGATAGATAAAGACGTTTTTTAATTAGGGGGCGGCTATTGGAACAGCTACTAAGGTAATTGGAGGTAGAGCTGCCACCTGGATAATGGTGACTATAGTCACTAGGCCTTTGGACTGCTGATGTCAGAGAATAACTGTTGCCATGGTTATAGCTTGAGTTGTTGAAATTAAGTTGCATATCTGAGATCTGAATATCTGAAGACAACTTTGGGATTTCAGAGGTATCATTGCTGAACTCTGGTGGTGGAGGAATTATTTCATAATTGAATCCTTCTTCCACCTCATCATTCTTAACTGTATGGTTTTGGGGTGGAGGGGAAAAGTGAAAAGGACTTTTGGATGTGCTCAATAGATCTTGCTGCTTCAAGTGACTGGAATTTGAGTTGTGAAGCAAAATAGAAGAACCACACTTATTTGATGAAAGACTCTGAGACTCAGTTATCTCCCTGAATTTCATTGTACTCCTGCATTGTTCAGTAGTGTTGGAAAATATTTGTGGCATATTTTCACTTTGTTCTGAAGAACTCCTGACATTATTGTTGGATGCATTTGATCCATTACACTGCTTACTTTCAGAGACTGCCAATAAGTCCTCATGTGGGAACTTTGGGACAACCTTGATAGTGTTGGGTTTTGAATTGCTGTAATAAATGGTGGATAAGCCATTCTCTGATTGGCTGCTATTGTTCAATTTGAGCTGAGGTTTCTCCAATAAAGAACTATTATTTTGAGAGGCAGAAGCAGAACATTTGACTCTATTGGCCCGCTGTTGTGCAGCCAAAAGAAGAGCCATTGGAGACCCTTTCTCTATTTTTTCTCCTGTAACAGGATGAAACAGAATATCATTGCTCGGTTGCTTTGCATTCCTAGATAGTTTGGATGTTGTTGAGGGCATGTTTCCAGTAGAATCTCTTTGATTTTCATTATTACATGAGCTGCTGAGTCCATCATGTGCAGCTTGGGAAGAAATTGCAGAGACAAGGCTGTCAACAGGTTCCAGTCTCGACGTATGAGTCGTATATTGCACAGAGAGATCCTTGATGGGAGAAGCAGTCTGTGTGAGTAAGGTAACCTCAGAATTAGAAGAGGAAGATGTAGCTGGACCCAAATGTCCACTTTTGTTTTTTAAAGATGAAACTGGTGACTTGCATGTTTGGACAGGTGCACTAGGCATTGTTGGTTCTTTCTCTGTACCTTCCAGTTTTGCTGTCGAAAATTTCAACTCACCATTATTGACCTTATTGCCAGAAAACTGAAGAGTAACTTGTTTTCTTGTTTCTGGATTATGTCTCAGGTTTGCAAGTGCCAAAGGTGGGCCTCCTTCCTTGACTGGACACAATAAAGCTTCCAACTCCTCTTTCAGTTTCATAGCACAGTTTTCTTGAGTGGTGGGAAATTTGTCTGTAGTTGAGAAAGCATCTTTGGTGAAAGATTTAGCTGGAGAATTATTGGCACATTTATTTTCTCTCTTCTCATTCTCGGCTCCTTGTGATAAACGTGTTTTTTTCACATCATGCTTAACTAGTTTTAATTCATCTGTAGTAATATTGTTGCTATCAATATCTGTGCCTTTAGCTTTAGAAACTGTAATCCTTTCAGCTGGTCGGTCTTCCTTTCTACAAGTTGAGGACAGTAGGGTTGACAGTTCATTCTTCAACTTATCTAAATTGCAACGTTCTTTCCAGATATCATCATCAGACGATGCATGATCTGGAGATGAAAATTCTGTTCTTTCTTCAGTGGACCAAGATAAATTTTGTTTTTTCTTCCGTGGGCGACTTTTGGAATCTGATATTTCAGATTCTGTGGCTAAAGCAGAATGCTTTTCCATAGTAGTTTTGGCTCTAGCTTCTGCCTCTGCGTAAACTATGGTAGCAGATTGTACAGTAGGTGACAGACTGTCAGGTGCCATTCTAAGTAAATATTCTTTGGGACTGGAGTCTTTTTCTCCCGAAGAAATTGATGATGTTCTCATGGGGGTTGGAGGGGGTACTTTTAATGATTTAGGGAAAATGAGATGAGGCTCTGGGCTGGATTGTGGTAACTGTGTCTCCTTGTGAATAGGTATTGCTGGAGAATTGAGAGAAGTCTCTGATTTCCATTTGGACACACCATTTGAGAAGAGTTGTGTATGAACTGGTAATGAAAGTGGAGGAATAGAAGATACTGTAGTATCCATAAAATCTGGAGGGGGGAGAGGAGGGGGAGGGGGAGGAATGAAGTCTGGTGGAGTTGGAGTACTGGGAGAAGACACATTGGAATATGGGAATGACGATGGAGCCATAGTTGAAAGACATGGAACTGGCAATGCTGGTGGAGGTGGAGGTGGAGGTGGAAGAGTCATTGGTGGTGGAGGTGGTGGAGTCATTGGTGGTGGAGGTGGAGGAGTCATTGGTGGTGGAGGTGGAGCTACTATGGAAGGTGGAGGTGGAAATACCAAAGAAGGTGAAACTGGTGGTAAATCAACTGAAAGTGGTGGTGGTGAAGGAGGAGGAATTGAAGGTGGTGGTGGAATGTTGTCATCATCCAAATAATCCTCCCCAAATGCCTTTGTCCTCAGGTCAATTACTGAATTGTACTTTCTATAACTGCCATTGATTTGTGAACCTAGGAAGAAAACAATAGACATATATAAATATATTGCATTGCTCTCATTTTCCATTGGAAAGAGTAAATTTATCTAAGTGAATATTTTCTGTTGGACCATATTGAGAAATACATCCAGCAGGTTTTGAAAGGAATAAGAGAAAATAGCTCCACACCCTATGCCCTGATCATCAGAAAACTCAGGAAAAAAACAAGTACAATTCCATTTATAATGCCTTCAATTTTTGGTTTTCAGCTGATTTTCTTTAAGATGCTGCAGTAAGTTAACTGATGTTTTTATAATGGAAAATGGAAGTTTCAGATGCTTTTTCTAATTTAACAAGTGGGAAGTTCTTTCGGGGAAGCTCATTTGGGTCCTAAGAGGCAAATTATGAAAGGACATAATCACTACTGCAGCAACCATGTCAAATTTTTCAGTCATACTTAAGAGAGCAGTATGTGCTCACATGGTGACTGGAATCTCTATTGAACAATAAAAAGATATATTCCTGTAATAGGAGACATATCTATAATTTGCAATTGAATCTGTTCCTTTTGATGCAGGAGAGTAGATTTCTGTAACCTGCCTTCCCCCAAATGATTGCATTGGAGGAAGGCAGGATTGCAAAATGTAGAAGGCAAAATCCCAAGATGACCAGAGGACATTCTGGATGTGAACTTTGAGCTGCATCCGTAAACATCTGTAGAACCTTATGTCGGGGAAGCCGCCATTGCATAAGAGCCAAGCTAAAAGCAAAAAGCTTCTGCCCCCATGGGAAACAATAATTCGTGATTACAGACAAGAAAGCCCAACAAATGACACAATTTATTCTGGATAACAGCAGGAAGGAAATTTGGTCCCTGTCGTCTGGAACAGCATCCCGCCAGAGACACAAACAGAACTCTCTCTGTGGGATTACATGTCTTTTATTACTAATATCTGAGTCTGTCAGAGTGAGTCTGTATCTGTAGTGCCAGAAAAACCAAATATGAACAGCCTACAGATGTTATGCTATTACGAGAACCTGGTTTAAATCATTTAATTAAAGTTAGTTCAATTTCTTTCTGTAATATTAAATTCTAAATAAAAATGTTAACAACATGCACTCTTCTGTATATTCCAAGTCATGCACCGATGGGGAAAGAGAGGGGGGGAGAGAGAGAGAGAGAGGAGAAGTAATGTGCCAGCGATGAAAGGATTTGGTCCTGTCTAGAGATCTTCCTGGGCTAATAACAGTTTTGAGGAGAGAAATAAAAATAACCCCACAAAGGAAGGGTGTACAACATCACCTCAGATCAATCCAGATCAGTTCAGTTCAATGGCAAACCAAGTCAGATATATTAGTCTACCAGTGTAAATGGCACATTTAGTGCTGCTTGAATGATCTACAAAAATATTTAAAAGGAACAACATAATTGATTACACTAGCTCTTGTATGAAACTACACACAGCAGCCTACTTATTTGGTATCCAGGAAATGTTCCTTCCAGAGATGGCACAGATAATAGAGCTTTAGAGACTGGAAAGCATATAAGGAGTTGCTACAAAGAAGAACAAACAAAATACATTTTTTTTTCCTGATTCTCAGCAAACAGGAATGGTGGCAAAGTAGATCTGCTCATTAACAAGGAAGTAACTGTATATGTTTAAAAAAAGTTTACTAATTGCCATGGCTACCTGACTACAAAAACGAGCTGAACTTGCTTTCAAGAGGCTGATTTAAGTTAATGATAGCTCCCCTCAACTCTGTGCCAAACCTTCCTGTTAGCAATGCTAAATATTTTCCATTTGTTGTAAATGCTTTGAAAGGTCTCAGAGTAGGAAGGGCAGAAATCTAAAACTGAGTTCATAATCTTAAAGATAGTGTTTATTAAAAAATAAAATATGATAACAGAATGTTGGGGGTATTGAAAAGTTATCAGATAGCAGATTAAAAATCTTGGTTGTCTTTAAAGTGATCTTCCTTATGCCCTACCTAGCAAAACTCATGTCCTAAATGCATAGATAATGTCTCTGCACTAAATGCCCCAGTTAAAGAAAATGTGATCAAGAAACTTTATGGTAATTAAGAGTTGACACTGACTTGATGGGATGTATTCAATCAAACAGACAAACAAAGATTACCTATGACAGAGAAGCAGTTTTGTAAGCTTCATGCAATTCAAAAGTTCTGGCTACAGGAAGATTGTACTTAGCTGTAAAGGGGATGTGGATGGCTAAAGACATTTCTTTCCATTACTGGCATCCTGAGCAATAGGCACAACTAAGCATTGTTGTGCCACATATTTGTCAGTAAATTTAAATTCAGATTTTTAAAAAAAAAATCTAGTAGGTTGTTAGCTATTATCAGTTATGGAATACAAGTAGTAGGATTCTACTTGATTGATTAAAACTGCCAAAGGCTAAGATATAAATTGAGACACTGATATTAAGATCCTTCTTGGCTCAAACATGATCAGTTCTTTTTTTTTAAGCAGATAATGTCATATAATAATTAAATATACAGATTATTTATTTATGTAGGAAATTGCTCTGCCACAGGGAGGCTGTTTCAGTAACAACAATCCCAACAATCACACAAGCATATCTTAAAAAAATATATAAAGGTCTAACAGCTGGCAACTTGGGACGGCAGCACCTCTGAAGGCCAATAGAAATTCCCAAATGACAACTACTTTCTCCCTTCCCCTGCCTGAGGTCTCAGCTGATCCCATACTCTGAACCCAACTGGACACATTTCAGAAAGGGGAACATCCCTCTCCCCTTCTTAAGGCCTCAGCCAGGTTTCGGTAACACATGCCAGGTCATCCTGCTCCTCCCTGATAAGACCACAACTAAGGGAGTTTTATTGTTAATCAATGTAGTATTAAGCAGCAACAGTTAAAAATCCAGGCTTCTGTAAGTCTCCTGACCAGGCCTGGGCTAGAGCCCATTTATCGGTACTAAAAATGATGAAGGCCTTCCCCACAAATGGACCTCCCTCTGTCTCCCATCAAAACATTCCATGCTGTCACCATCACCATCAATAAACCAATGTATTAACCTTCTCTACATTTTCCTCCCAGCTCCAGACTCCCAGCTCTCAAAGCTGAAGATCCTTCCATCTGTTCCTGCATATCAGACATCCCACTTCCATCCCAGGTCCAGGGCAGAGGCAACAATGGAGCCACTTCTTCAACATTTACCAGCATACTACTATGTAGGCTATAAAAGAACAATTTGAAATATCCACATAAGATTTAGTGCAGGGGTGTCAAACTCGTGTCATCGTCATGGCAGCATCACGTGACGTATTGGGATTGTCCCCTTTGCTAAACCGGGCATGGACATGGCCAGCATGTGACGCATATGGCCCATGCTGGGAGTTTGACAGCCCTGATCTAGTGGCAAACTTCTGCAAAGCTTCAGCTCTCAATCTCACATTTGGTGGCTTGCAAACTCAGTAGTGTGCTGGAGCAAGCTCACAAAAAATGTTAAATTTTCTGGAATTTGTGAGCTGGTTGAGAGCACAGATGAGCCACATGCCTAGCACACCGTTCTGGGGCTACCTGGACAGAGGTGGCAATGGAAACAGGTCTTCAATGTTTTCCAGCACACCACTGTATAAACTATAAAAGAACAATTTACAACACCCATAATATCACCTAAAACTACAAGACAGCAATAAAAGCAGTACCAAACCAAAAACAACAGTAAGCTGAAAACAATTACTTCCCCCACCCCCAAAAATGCTTTTTCATGGTCACTACTTGAAAGTAATCATAGTTGCCATAATGTCTATAGCCATCACATGGCTGACTTACCTTAAGAGGAATAATAGACCCTGAAATCAGAAATGATCTTTCTATTCTCCTGGTAGATGGATTCCCTACTTATGCCACCTAAAAGCCCTTTCCATAAAATGTGATCAACATCTAAATATGTTGCCTTTTGTGTCAGTCCTAAGTTTCTAAATGTGAATGATAGATTATACAGTTTCACAAAAGTTCAGGAACATCACAAAAACAACATTGTGCTAACATTGCAAGATGATATACTGATGCCAAAGCAAAATTTATAATTTCACTGTCAATTAAGATAATGAACTATAGGTAAAGAAATGCAGATAATAGATATGGTGAGCATCCATTCCAATTATCATTTTACCTGCAGGTAGTTTGTCCTGAAAGCTTTCTGGAACAGATGGTGTTGGTACAGCTACCCCATGTGCTTCGTGAGCATCCTGAAAAGGTTGAGAGATGGATTTTAACATTATATAAAAAGTGGTAAACACAAATGCCTCAGACAAATATAATAAATCCATGCACAGCTGCACATGTGCATGCACACACAGAGATACATAAACATATACACACAGAGAGAGAAACACTTTACTATTACTTATTACATTTTACAAATAAGAATAAGAACAAGACAAATATTATTTAAACTGTTGTGAGAGTGCAAATTCGGTTCATAAATCCACTCTGCTACATTGCTAACTCACATAGTGGAATCCACAAAGTGCAATCGTTGAAACTTTCCCCAACTTTTATAATCTGGGAGACCTCAGGAAGCATCCACAAACAAAATTGAACCGATCTAGAAAATGCAGAAATAATATTTTTGCATTTCATCTTGACTTGGAATCCTCAAGTACAAAGTCTGCCTGATAATGCTGTCTCTATAGCCCTTCAAATAAGAAAGTTAAGGATATTTATTCATCCATCCATTAATCAAATTATCACCCATCTAATAGAAAGTGACACTGGATGCTGTACAACAATATTTTGGACAGAATCCAAGAAATTATACAATTATTTCTATGAGTTCAAGAAACTCTAGAGTAGCATTTCTCATGTTACCATTCCCTAGTGTTACATATTAAACAGTTTTTGAAATCAAAAATGTATGTCAGGTTTGGATATATTAATCAAGGCAAAGAGGTCATTTAGTTTAGGGATATCCAAGTCCTTGAATCCATTTGAAGTAGACTCTTCTTTTGTCCTGGTCCATGGTATGCTTATGCAAGTGGTATTCACAGGAACAATGGTGTGGATTGTGTCATTGACAGCCCTGGCTTTCAATACAATTATATAACATTTTGCATAATAAGACGAGCACCACTGGCAACATTTTTGTTTAAACTATTGCAAAACTCAAAGCACACCTTACAGAAAGCTGGGACTTAAACTTCCTCATCTTTTAAAGCCAGCAAACTTAAGTTTATATTTTTCATTTATTAATATCACAGCAATAATAATACGCATCCTTCACATAACACTCCAGAGTTAACAATTGTTGATAAGAGAGACAAAGTTTGGATAGAGAATGTTGTAGTACCTGAAGAGAGAAGAATTGAAGAGAAAGAACTGGAGAAAATCACAAAATACAAAGACCTGGAGATAAAAGTAGAATGACTGTAGCAAAAGAAAGCAAAGATAGTACTACTATGAATAGGTGCCTTGCATGCAATCCCAAAATATCTAGAATACCATTTAAATGCTATCTATTTGGAAGAACTTACATCCTGTGATGATATATTTAACACAATTAAACAACAATCTGCCTATCCTAGTTCCTTGGAAAGGACTCCTAGGTGGATAAAAGTGTCAAATCCAGTCTAAACATTTGGCTGACTGTAACCAACTACAATAATAATATATGCTGTTAAAACAAATGCATTAATAATAATATGAAGGAAGGTTGAAATGAGTTGATGGTGTTTTGTCAGGATAAGAAACAACAAAGAGGAAATAGGTGAGGCAGACAGATTACACAGATGATGGGCAAATTGGCTTGGGGCTGAATTACCATTTTTAAGGCTACTTCTAGTTTATAGTCAATATTAGTAGTAGGTTTATAGTTCATCCTGTGATTCTAAGCCTGAGGATATAGATTCAATGGTTATGAAAAGGCACTTTAAGACCATTTTAAATGCCCATCTTCCCTGCTACATGTTTTAAACTTTAGCTAATATCGCTGATAGTTGAAATGCCTCTTAATAGCTTAGAATGGTGAAAAAGGCTTCTGTCAAAATCTAGCCTCAGAGCAAAAGTCTATTTGTCTTGAAATAAACTTGAAATTTATTCTTGAAATTATCCCACAAAATAGCAGTTGGTGTTTCTGCTGTTCTTTCAACATGTGTTAGTACATCTAAATTAGAGATGAGTCAACCTTGAATTTCTTATGTCCCTAAGTAAACTCAGAGTTACTTAGTAGCAGTACATTTCAGCTTCACCCAAACCTAATTGACCCATATCAAAGGCCAACCCTCTCAGACTCTTGTTGCATATATTATGCCTCAATCGCCTCCTAACCCTGAAACAAAATGGCCCATACATTTTGGTAAACCCAAATGATCAACATGAGTATTCACCTAGCTATTTAGCAAGATTATACCAAATGGCAGCATCAATTCAACTTTGGTTGGTTTCCAACAATGGTGGGATTCAATTTTTTTTACTACCAGTTCTGTAGGCGTGGCTTGGTGGGCGTAGCAGGGGAAGGATACTGTAAAATCTTCAATCAGAGGTGGTATTTGCCAGTTCTCCAAACTACTCAAAATTTCCGCTACCGGTTCTCCAGAACTAGTCAGAACCTGCTGAAGACCACCTCTGATTTCCAAAAGTTATGTTTGGTTGGGCATGGTTAATACTAAAATAAGAGATCATAAGAACTATAGAGATTGCTCCAAAGTTTTTTTTTTTAAAAGGAAGAGGAGGAAGCAGTGAAACTCACTTGCATGAATTCATAGGAGACAAAACTGACTCTTCACTTTTTCATATTTCTTTTAAAAGTTAACCAGGAAAATAAAGAATATGATCCTCCACCATACAGGACAGAAACAGAAGTCTAGAAACAGAGCACTCATACTCTTTTATAATTAGTTTTACTTTCCCTCATTAACCTGCTATCTATTAACTATTGTGGCTAGATGTTGTCTATTGTTATTCTTTGCTAGAAGTGAAAATGTCTTCTCATAACTGTATTGAAGATTTTATTGAGTTATAACAAAAGGTTTCATTCTATTTTTATAATAGTTGTATTGAACTTTAGAGTTAACAGATTAAAAACTAATGCAAATTATATATATAAAAATAAAAGAAAACAAAGAAAAAATGAAAGTGCAAAAAAGGGGGAAAACAGTAACATAGAAAGAAAAATAGATAAGAAATTAAAAACTATAGTAAAGAAAAAGAAAAGAAATATAAAGAAATAATGTCCCCCTCCTTGTAGGCATAAGTATAGAAAGGACTTTAATATGACAAACACAAAGTTGTTACGTTCATCTGAAGTGATTCAGAAAATCAGTGAAGTGCATTGTACAACATTCTATTATCAGCTACAGGTGCCAGAAAGGGACCAAAAAGCCACAGATATGCTGAGACTGAAAAGGTTAACGACTGCTTTAAGGAATAACTAGGAAATGAAACATCTTACTAGAATTTGGTGTTTTTTCTGTCTGAACATTTACTGCACTGTTCTGAATACAAGTTTGGATAATGATTAAACAAAGCCTGGGCTTTCTAATGAATATTTGCTATCTGAAACAAAAGGCCAAAGTCTTCTGAACTTAGCAGAACATGAAAACACTCAAATCAAAATGTTGAAGGGCAAATAAAGAGTTAAAAAACTGGGAGATGGGTGTAAACCAATAAGCCAATTGATCACAATAAACCAATAAACATCCAGGGGAAGTGTGAAGAACCTTTTTACAGTAGTTGCATTGTTACAAAAAAAAATCCACTTTTCCCAAAGTTCCATTCTATTGTTTTCAGTGTTCATTTATGTTCACGTTGTTGTTTGGATTTTTTAAAGGAAGGTAAGATTACACTAAAGGAAGGAATAATGACAAAAGTTTTAGGAATCTTTTCCCCTCTACACTGTGTCAGAATTAAGTGCAAAAAAAGACACATGAAGCGTGAAGCACAAAAACTTTGTGAATGCTGCAAAAGACTTGAATGGAGGCTTGAGAGATATTACAGGTTGTTACCAAATTATATTTTTAACATGACACAAGAATTGGCCATCAGTAGAGGGAGAGACAGTCTAAACATTTAAGATAGTAACTTTAATTCCAAGTCATAGTTGCTATTTTGATGCTTTTTATACTTACCATCTACAGGTGCCCTGAGAAAAGAGAAAAGTACTCCATTTAGGAGTAGAGGGTACTAATCATATTGTAGAGAATTTAGAGGATGACCTTGACAGAGAGAGGGAAGATCCATTACAAAGGCAATGATCAGATAAATGAGCCTTAAGCCCATACAAAGAGAGGAATTTATGAAAACATCTCAAACAGGCACTTTCTCCTAGTTATCATGAAAATAAAAGAGGGAGGAAGAGAATCACATTTAAAATCACATTTGCAAGGAGTGGGGGAAAATGATTTATCACAAGGTTGCTAAAAATGCTTGCAGATCTGTCCAGAATGCTCTGCTATGGAATTCTGCTATGAAATTCCAAATGTACAAATCTTTACATACTCCATTATTTGGGATATTTAAAATTCTCCAGTTAACTGCCTGAAGGTCAAGGCTGTATTTCAAGATTTAGAACAGTTTGCAGAATGATATTTTATTAGGCACTCAGAAATGGTTCAATTCAAAATATCATATGCCGAGATGCCATCTGTTCCCTGCTTAGAGTTGCAGGGAACAGGTGTAACTTCAACAAAATCTGTGACTTCTTTTGAGCCTCAAAGTAGAATTGGACTGCAACATACCTCTGTCATGATCCCATCACTGGATGCAATTTTTATATGACACTTGTGGAATTTCAGATCTCATTAAAAACACAGGGTAGGACAAGTAAGCAGATAATGACTTCTGGAATTCTTTCAAACTAGCTGTAGCCTTGCAAAGTGTCTTTGTTTTTGGAGAGGGGGAGGTTAATTCAGTAATATTGCATGATGGGGGACCGAGTGTTTGTGCACTTGTTCCCCAGGGCTTAACCAGTTTGTAGATATATGTTACTTATGGGAATAGTTCTATTGTGTGTGTGCATGTGTGTGTGTGTGTGTGTGTGTGTGAGAGAGAGAGAGAGAGAGAGAGAGAGAGAGATGGATGCATATACATTACCTCTGTTTGTATATTCTGTTTTCCCCTTGTGATGTGTCTCAGTTGTATATTGGGTTTAAGATGTCAGTGAAGAAATTTATACTGAAAAATGGTTACATATTTCAGGTAAGACAACTATCTGAAATATACCTCAAAATCAACCATGACGTTCTTACAGAAGGAAAGATTTTGGAATGGCCCACATGGCCCCAGACTTGGACATTATTGAGAATCTATGAGGGGTTGGATTTTTAAAAATGCTGCCCAAATTTCTGCATCTGCCACATTCACTATCTTCTTATTTTGAATCTGTAAAGAGCTATGTCTAAGTATAATATGCATTAAAATCTTAAAGCATGTATTGTGTTAATTCAGTACCATGTGAACATTATATTAGCTTATATTCATTTAGGGATTCATTGAAACATATACATTTACCAGAGGTACTTACATTTTTGCTTACAACTTGGTGTGGGGTGTGGGGGGGGGGGGGGGGGGGGGGGAAAGGGAGAGTGTGTCTTTGGGGTGACTATATTTGTTAATATTTTGGATATGTGGGTCTAATAAAGATGGGTCCATATGTGGTGTCTTTGTCGCTACATGCTACTGTACGTTTGCACAAAGTGGGCTTCATATGGCCTTTTTTGGGTCATATGCCAAGAGACAGATAGTTTAATTCTGAAAGTATTACAAGCAACTGTCCAATTGCCTCTCCCAGAGGATGATTTGGGAGGGGAGATTATCTACCCCTTCTTGATTTGATCCAACCTGATTTAGAACTCTTTCTTTCTTTCACTGGCTTCTCCTGCTATGTTAGATTTCATCCTTTTTTGTTCTATCATCCTACTGATGACAAAAGATGGGCAGGCAGACAGAGCATAATTTATGTCCAACACTCTGTCGGGTTGGAAAGAATAAAAAAGGTCAGCAAAACCAGTATTTCAGGTTTGTGGAATCTAAATCAGTGTCATGCCCCTGGTGGAGTCTGACTCTGAGGAAGAGGAGGAACAGCCAACAGGGAGTGGGAGTGTGGCTCCAGAGGTGGTGGAGGAGGCTGGGGAAGGGCAGAGGCCAGCTGAGCAGTCAGAGGAGGATCCAGGCCCATCCCCTATCCATCCTAGGTCACGCAGGGAGGAGAGGATCAGGGAAAAGTGAGGTCTACTCAAGAGGAGATTATCACGATCCTCCTCGTGGCTTGCAGGTGGGAGCTATGTATATAAGTTTGCAACTGTGCAGTTAGAATTGCTGAAGTCAATTAGTGTTCACCTTGAAAGAGACTTATCTTTGCTGGCGTTCTTCCCATGGACTTTTCTCGGTTATTTTCCTGGAGTCTATAATTATTTATCCTGGCTTGCTTCAGAACTCTCATCAATGTGGTTTGTTTTGGTTTTCTGTTTGCCTCATTATTTACTTTTGTGACTTTAAACTGTGCCTAATAAAACAGTGAAGTTAAGTTGAAGGCTTTACCGGACTTTAATATATGTTTTGGGTTTGGGGTTATTTTGAGAGACTTCGGGTCATCACATTTTGACTTCAGCCACCCCTTCGACTTATTTTTGCTTTTTGTGAGGTGACCATGGATCAGCTCAGAGCAGAGATTGCCCAGTTAACACAGCGAGTGGCTCTTTTGACTGCACAGGTGGCACAAATGCAAGCTGCCTGGCCAGGCCAAAAATGCCCAGTGGCAGTGCCAGATAAATTTGATGGTTCACTGGCCCAATTTCCAGAATTTTTTGGGCAGTGCCAGCTTTACATGAGCCTTTGGCCTGAGGACTTTCCCACTGACCAGGATAAGGTGGGGTTTTTAGTTTGTTGTCAGGCTCTGCAGCACGTTGGGTGATGCCTCTGCTGACCCAGCCCAACCAGGTGTTGGACAATTATGCCAAGTTTTGCCGTCAGTTTCAGGCCATGTTTGAGGACTCTGTTCGAAGCCAAACAGCAAACAGATGTTTGAGAGAGTTGAAGCAGGGGTGTGGCTCACTCATGGATTATATTGCTAGTTTTCAGGTGGTTGCTCAGGATGTACAATGGAATGAGGCAGCACTATTAGACCAGTTCCAGGAGGGTTTGTTGTCGGAGCTCCTGGATGAGTTGGCGTGCACTGAATGCCCTCACATCCTTCAGGAGCTCATGCATTTGTGTCTTCGTATCAATGCTAGACTTCAGCAGAGACGGGTGCGACAACGGACAGAGACCGTATCTGTTTCCAGCAAGATGGCGCCCTTGGTGGAAGTGCCTTTGGAGGAACCCATGCAGTTGGGGGCTGGCCACCCTCGCCTGACTCAAGTATAAAAGAATAGATGTCAACATGATGGTTTATGCCACTATTGTGGCAATCGAGTCCATTTTGCGGCCAAGTATCTTGTTAAGACATCCACAGCAGCAACACCTGCGGTGGCGGGAAACGAGCATCGCTCGGC